ATACGCATTTACCAAGTATATTATTTTCCTAGTTTTTTTTTTTTTTTTTTTTTTCTCTGTCCTTTGTCAATTACACAGCTGATCAGAGGCTGAACAGTTGCAACTTCCACAGACCATGTCAGCTCAGAATTTTTAATCTGCTGTTGCTTTCTGGGAAGTGACCAAAACTGTTTCCAGCTTCATTTCTCCATCAAGTTTGGATGGACTGCTAAGAAATCCTTGAGCCTCACACAACTATAGATTGTGCTTGCATATTCCTATTTGTCCCCTATCTGAAGTCAGAAATATCAAATAGGCTGTATCAGACTTCATTTAGATAAAATACAAATTACCTGAGAGCTTTTTAGTCAAGTATTTATTTTGTTAGTATTTGAGAAATCTTTCCTGATTTAGTTTTCCCTACCAGCTACTATATAGTGGATACCAAAGGTCATTCAGCAGGATGCATGAGGAGGGTGACCTAGGGAGCAGAAAAGGCTACTATATTAAGGAAACTATTCCCTAATAATTTTGCTCATTTGAAATGGACAAACATCACATCAGAAGATGTAGGAATCCATTGCAGCTCTAGTGCTTCTTTCATTACCCAGCAACTCCTCATTGGCTCTTCACAAACTGCTTTACAAAAGGGAAGAACATTCAGTCTGAGTGGAGAAGGGTTATGGTGAGCCAGGCTTCCTACCTTTACGAGGAAGAAGAGCAGGATGGTGACAAAGACACTGACTTTAGGATGGATCCAGGCAGCAGATTTCCCTAGGATCTGGGTGTCCCCAGAGTGTTTGATCCAGGTATAGTTATCAAAGAGAGTGCTGATGGCTTCCCGTGGCATCAACTAAACAGCAAAAAAACAGGTATGAGTCACGAGATCAGAGGGAGTAAATATTCTATCGCTATTACAAGGAAACAGAGGAGATTTTTACTGTGGGAATTCATGACTGTGAGACTTAATTAACATTTCTAATCTTCAGGAAGAGAGACAGAACTTTATTCAAGCAGGTGAACTTTACTCAAGCAGGTGAAGAGATAACTGCTTTTACACATAGGGTAACATATTCCTTATTATTTGCTTTGAAGAATGGACCTTTTTCAAGTTTTCTATGAAGGAGGTAGCAGAGATCATGCAGTGCCTCCTGAGTCCAAACTCCTCCCATATCGTTCTTCCCTTTTCCCTGACACAAGGTTATTGGGGCAGAGAATAAGGAGATAACGTTCCAAAGTGCACAGAATTGGTAATATAGTTTCCAGTCTCACCTCTCCTGCCATGAACTGCCCAAATCCATGAGGAAAGGTCACTGATGCTATACAGAAGGTTATAACTGCAGGGTATATCAGTCGGCTGTGAAGAAAGTTAGTTATTACAATATGGCCTCGCATTCTGTTCTTGTAGCACCTTCACTTCAGGACTAGGAATGCTATTTATGGGGAGCTCTCTGTATTTGTATCCATTGTTTTGGATTACTGGTAGTTTAACGCCCTGCTCCACTAATCATCATAATTCACAGAGTTCACCTGTCAGCAAAACCCTATTTTTTCCATCAGAGTTAGTATAATAGGAGGGATGGAGGAAGAGAGGGATGTACAACATGCACAAACTTGAATACATAGGAGGAATGTGTGTTTGCAGTGATGTGTTGACCTAGTATCAAAAGCCACTACTTCTCTCATTTGTCCTGATTTTGACAATCTTGCTTCTTCATCCCCCATGCAATGTATCCTGTCATAGTAGATTTAAATGTAGGGTTTTTCATACATTTCTGCAGGCAGCCCCTGGTGCATTGATTCTTATGGGGAAAACTGCTTCTCTTACCACTGAATTGCGGACTCAATCACAATTTTGGGGAAGGTGTCCTTGGTAGCCAGTGGGTCTAGCAGTGCCAGGCCAGTGGCAGGACAGAGGCTGAAGCCATCTGTGTTTTCTTACTGCTGTGTCCAGTCCAGGGTGGGTGTCTGGGTAAATTGTGACACTTCACAAGACAACATAAGCCTAAACTGCTTCCACATGCTGGATTTATCCTGTCATGTGTCCCTTGGCAAGTTACTGTTTCCTACAAGAAGCGTTGGCTGATATTTAGGAAGACAAAATATAACCTTTAATTTGATTCAGTCTAAGGACCTAAAAAATTCTGAGAAATCAGTGAAAAGTAGGTTCCTATTTTTCAGGCTTGGCTCTACTTCTGTATTAACTTGATGTGATAGTCCTGCTGCTGCTTGTGGGTAAGGTTACATGATGAAGAAAGATGTTTTTCCTTCCACATAAGAAAGTAAGTTAATTTGAATTTCTGGTTTTCTTCTGGTCAGGCCTGCGGCTGGATAAGAAATAGAGTCCTCCATGCCTCTCAACCTCAAAAATTCTCATAGTATCATATCTTTCTCTGTAAAGAGACTGAAGACATTTGCAGCTAGCCACCATTTCTTGTCCAAGTTATGAACTTTGGAGGTTAGGACTTTATTAGAGAGGGGAAAACAGTATCTTCAAGTGTCCTGTAAAAACTTTAGTGTCAAGACACTTATTTATTTTGCATTTCTCTTCCATGTTGCATTTCACACCATTTGGTTGCTATCAGTTTCAGCTTTTGGTTCATAAGAATGGAGCACATTCCTTACATTTTTGCCAACACTTTGATTAAAAAACAAATACATGTTTTAAAAACTTAGTTCGATTTCAGCTGTATTTAATTTTCTTTAAATATAAACAGTCTTGAATTTTTCACAGATCCTAAAAAACCCAAACAAACCAGAAACAGCTTGATTTTAAAAGGCATGATCATTGACTTTCTAATTAAAAATGTTTTCTGTCCAATGAATAGTTTGCCATATCCTCTTAACAAATATTGCAGTCTCCCTTCCAAATCAAGAAGCTATTTGAAACTATGTAGGCTGATCAAAAGGAAAATTCAGTGAAGGAAAAATTCTCTTGATATTTGCAGAGATCTTACTCTCATACAGGAACAGTTTCTCATATTTTTACTATCTTACACATGCAATAGGTCTACTGTCTTCCAGAAAGCATTTGCTACTATCCAATACCAGTAGGTGTAAGAATCTGGTCCCTAAAGAGAGTATCTTCACAAGCACTCACTATTTGGTGAGAAACTGGCTCAGGGCTTTATGACGTCGGATGCCCAGGACCACTTGGCGATTGAGATAAACAAAAAAGGCTCCAAGGAATCCAGAACATATGCTAAAATGGAGAAAAAGAAATAAAATCATACCAAATAACAGAATGCGCAAACCATCAACCAAGAATGTTAGTTTAAGTGGTTTAATCTTCAGCTGCTCATGAAGTCTTCTGAATGTCACCTAAAGGGTTACTCCTACATCAGCTCATTTGAAGATATTGGCTCCCTGATGAAAGAGGAGAATTATCTTGGACCTCTGTCATGCACACTACCATTTTACCAATTTTCTCTTGCTGAGAGGGGAAAATATATAAAATAATTTATAAAAAGAGATTGACAGTTCTCAGTGGGGGCTCTTGAAGAGCAACCAGTCAAAGACCAGTATTGTCAGAACTTAAACATCAGATTGGAACAGAAAATAGTAAAAATGAAGGCAGTTTTAAGTATGATTCAGTAAAATTATACGCCTACAATAATTACTAATACTGATAGGAACTCTGGTGCCTAAAGCAAAGTGTATCAGCTCTATGATCCTAATCACTTAGGCTTGTGCTCCTGATTTTAATAAAGTAAGGAAAAAAGTGTAGTTGTCTAAGGATTGGTGTGATCCTTAGGCTCTGTAGCTTAATGAGACTGGGATAAATAGAGCCTAATACTTGAATATGAAAAGGAAGAGTGAAAAAAGACTGCATTTAGAATTGGTAAGGGGAAGCTTTATTTCAGGTGGCAAGCAATAACCCAACATAATTCTGAGGATAAACACTGAATATATTTTTTAATTAATTTCTAGAATTAATGGACTTTTGCTTTGTTAAGTTATGCATGTTTTTGCCAAATCTCATTAAATTAATTATTTTGTCTACTTAAAACATTGTACATCAAAATAATCTGGCTTTATAATTTAAAATTGCACAGAAACACATTTTAACTAAATATAAAGCTTTTCACAGACAAACATGTTCAATGAATTATTCTTCAATATATTAAGCTATCACTGATTAAAACAGTGTTTAAAATAGACCTGTCCCTTAGGCAATATAATCCTAAAGACTTCAGAGTCAACTGAATTGCTCTATAATATTTTATATTAAAATATATGTCTTTCCATTCATGTCTGTCATTTAATCTATAATCTGGAAGTGCTCCTTCTGTATAGATTATGCAAATTAACACTTGGTGACACAGAAAAACAAGATCTACCCATTGATATTGCTTGTCCCACCTGAAGGTGAAGAAATATGTTGGGTAGAAAGAGAGTTAAACTTTGAGACTTAATGTTAAGAGAATTTGGGGCATTCCAAGTTGGCATCAGGACAAGACTATCCAAGCCTTTGGGGTTGTTTTTTATTTTAAAGACCATATTGGACACCCAGGCATTTGAAAGCATTTTGCAGTGCCATATATTCCTTTCCTAGCCTATGTGCAATGCTGAAAAAAGCCATCTCTGTCAACTCTGTCTGAAACATAGTGACAAGAAGTTTTGCATTCTAACAACCAGCTGTAAAATCACAAGGATCTAAACCAGTAGATTCCTCCAAGTTCATTAGGCAAGGCTGTTTAAGGGGAAGAACAAAGTGAATACATGTTGCTAGCAAAAGCTCCTGTGTATTCACAGATTTTTCAATATATCTGATGTCTTCAAAAAAACCCACTTGGTTTCATATTCAAGTAAATTAGTAGGAGAACAGCCTACTAAAATAAGCTGGAAAACCTCAAATATATTTCTGGCCTTGCAAGAGAATATGTTCACAACACCAGCACAGGTGTTTGTTCCTGCAGTGTATTCCTTTTGTTACTGCTCTGAAGTGATTTCCCTGGAGCCTCCCTCAAGCTCTAACCAGAGATTTTTTTCCCACAGTAATTCAAAATTCATATTTTCTTTAGTATTTCCCAATTTTCATTTTTCTTAAATTTATTCTTTCATTTCCTCCAAATGAACCATTATTCTCACTGAATCCTATTACTTTTGGTTACCCTTGTCACCATGTCGGGTATACTAACCTCTCTCAAAGAGGATAATCAGTCTGAGTTTGTGAAAAGGAAACTTCAGGTTAAACCTTTTGTTCCATCTTTGTCATGTGAAAAGGCCATGCTCGTTGGATCAATTCATTTGGGGGTAATGTCAAAACAATTAAAGAGCCATTCTGCAAATCTATTCCCAGAACTTTGACCAAGTTAGACTTTTTTTTTTTTTTTAACCTCCAAGTTTAATTTCTGAAAAAGATATATGGAAAGGAAATAAAAACACTTTAACAGTACTCATATTTCTTTCCCTAGCCATTGTGATACACGGGCACCATTTCTGAAGGAAGAATTCCAACAAATAGAGGACATATTTGTGACAACCAAAATGACTAGAAGTGATGTTTGGCAGATCATATTATAACCTCTGTAGAGCAAGGTGTCAGTTTCCTGGGAACTTACCCTATTATAGCAAAGGCTGGCAGCTCTTGCAGATCAAAGGGGAAATCCATACGGAAGTTTGTTCTGAACAGGGCTGTGATGGTAACTGTGAGAGACGAAAGGTAGACAAGGAAAGAAAATAATGAGGTGAGAAGTTAAATGCAATCAAAGCTAGGGGTAGGGACAAGGAAACTGGTTTATACAAACTCCTGTGTGGTTTCCTGACATTATATACATTATTACAGATTGGCAGACTGCTCTGATTTAGTAGGTTCTATTTCTGAGCACTTGCAACCCTAGCACTCTAGATGGTCTAGGTTTGCTTTCAGAGAATTTATGCATTATTTTTAGCATCAATCCCTGATTTTTACAGGGTTTTCTTTTCTTTCTTGTCTTTTACCATCCATTCACTATAAAAAGAAAGCTCTTCTGGTATCCTTACTGGCCAAGAGGTCTCTTTGCTCAGGCAGGCAGTGCCCGCATATCTGAGGAAATATCACTTCTCACAGTTGTGATTGCCTTCCAGAAACAAAATTCAGATCTTCACTGAAGTTACAGCTTCAAAATTCTTGACTGGTACCAAAACAATGAAAGGATTAGAAATGAGAGATGGAAAAGATCAGCTCAGCCTCATCTTTTCCAGCTCACCCCTCCTGGTAGTGCTGCTCTGCTACAATGAAATGTTGAAACCTGAGCTGCTTTTGTCTGGAGGTGTGTTATTGTGTGGAAACAATAAACATCTGTGTGCCAACAGGTGAAGGATGAATCAGCAATTCAATACAGAGTAGAAGGGTAGCTGAATGAGGATGGATATAAATCCCAACTTGCCCTGGATGAAGGAATTATTTGTTCAATCAGGAAATAAAAGAAGCAGTAAAAATCTAGCATATGATAACAGGAAGCATTAAGTACTTATTATTTGGTCAGACAGAACTAGGTTTAGAGTAATAATTTAATGAGGTCTCAGTGGGTTACATTACCTAAGATAGCTAAACCTAAAACTGCATTCTACTATCCAAATTGGGAAGATCTTACTCCCTGTCTCTTACCCCTGCTCGTTCCCTCCCAGCTGTACTATTGTTCTCCTCTCCCCTCGGGCCCACTCTGACACATCACAGCTTTCTTTGAGTTCCTTTGCCTCATTAAAACCTGCCAGAAAACCTGTCTATTCTTTCCTTGGATTACTCCTTTGTCAGGGCAGTGAGTTGAATTGAGGGAAACAGCAAACACGGAGATGGCACCAGGGAGGGTTAAAAGAACAGTCAGGCATGGAAGATGGTGAAAAGCAGGGTGTCCTCTTTTTTGTTAGATCAGCCCAAGAAAGGGATCATCTCAAGTCAGTTTTAGGAAGCAGATTGTCCAAGCCACTAAATGGCAGAGCATTAGAAAGTATAGTAAAGTAATTTTCAAAGAGCTCTGCTGCAGGGTGGCAAAAATGACCATAGGAAAGGAAAACAGGCGCAGCATTTAGTCTGGGTCATTCTTGGTTCCATCTCTACTCCCACATGAGAGAAAGAGATTTCCACAGAGAGATTCATGCCACCTGTTTACACCCTCTTTCCTGAACCATCCTGAAATGGAATGTTTAAGCCCTTTTCTCTCCATTGGCTACCAAATGTACTACTATAGAGTATCTGTCCAATTCTTATAAGGCTAGAAGTAAAAAGGAATGTGAAAGTAGTTAATGTGAAAGTCTACTTAAAAATAGGTTTGAACTTTAAGATAACACTGAGCCACATGTAGAAGAAGCAGGAAGAAGGCAAGGCATGAAATCCTATAGCAAATAAGATGAAAGCTGGGGACATGGTAAAACAGAAATCCTGCAAATTGCAGAACTCCAGCCTTCCATGACTGGCAAAGAGGGGCTCAAGCTGCAGCCAGAGTGGTTGGCAAAAAAACAGATGTTATTTGGAAGGTACAGATAATGGTGTAAAGCCAACCAACAAAGCCATGAGTATCAAGACACCAGCAAAGATTCTATGGGTCTAAGAAATAAAAGAAGTTTGGTGAGATGCTACACAACTTATTTGCATCTGTCATTCTGGTGTGATCACTTCTCTACTCACTTCTTCCTGATAGCAGACATAATAGAAAAACCTTGCATGAACAGAGACTGAAAAGACTGGGTGTGTAACTTTTGAAAGGTAATAAATGAGCAAGAAAAGACATGAAAGACAAGTTAGAGCAGATATGATAAAAGATCATAAAATAATGAATGACTTAGCTAGAGAGACGTTCCTAGTTCCTTAATACAAGGACAAGGAGACTGACAACACAATGAAAATACAGAACTGTGAAAATGAATGATTTTTCAGAGCCACTTGAATCATGGAACTTTTTAACCTAGACAGTCAATGAAGAAGAACTTAAGGAGCCATTAATATGGGTATTAAAGCTGTCTGGATGATTTTGAAGAAGGGGTAGGAGTCAAGATGTTTTAGGAGTAAGCTAATTTCTAGTGATTTGAAATTAAACTAATTTCTAGTGATTTCCAATTTATTTGAGAGACCAAGTAGGGAGTCAGAAGACACAAAGTGAAGGACAGGAAATTATGTCCTGTTATCTGTCTTTGAATTTCTTATATTCTTCTCTGGAAAGAACAGAAAGATATGAGTTTTGGGTTTTTTGTGACAGACCCAATGGTTAAATGCCCCTTACTTTTAGGCAGTGGTACACAAAGAAACATGGAGTGACTTCCTACATTCAAGTAGAAAGTGTATTAATTTTCTATATTCCAGAGAATATTCAAATCCCCAAAAAATACAGCCCTCTGAAATCAAGAGAGACATGTTATAGCAGTTATAAGTAAGTAAACTGCCCACGTGGAGCTCAGTAAAATAGATGTAATTGTAAAAATTAAAGATAAAGGTATTATATAAGGAAAAAGTTTACATAGAAATGGCAGCCTTCTGCACCAAAACTCTATTCCCACAGTGGCTGAGATGCTCTCCTGAGCAAGCTTCACTTGGGCAATTTCTGTCTGCAGCAAATGGCACTCTCATGCTTATCAATTTCTTGAGACACTTTGTTTTTTCAGGACCTTCACTCATATCCTACCAATCTTGTACTCTCCTAATCATACAATAATCTCAATTTTCTTGACTATCCATTTTTAGTCAAGAGGTGACCAAAGCAGTCCATGAACTTTCCATCAAGGATTACATCCTCTGTGATGGGATATTTCTGTATTGCAGCCTGAGTAGAGGCAAAAAAAAATCACACCCCAAGGGGTCTTTTGCTTGCTGAGGACTCAGATTCTGTAATTTATCAGTTAGATACATCCCAGCTCTCTTAGGAATAGATTGGGCTAGACAGCTGACAAGATGGCAAGACACTTCCCTTTCTCCTTCCTTCTGTGCTGCTGGAAGTCATGTGTTTCAAACATCATAAAAACATTGTGGTTTGGAGAAAGATGGAAAACAATGCATGAACAGAGCAACTTCTGTGCAAAGAGAGCAGGAATGGCTCTTGGCTTACCTGCATCCTTGTTCCAGACAGCCAGGACTCGGAACACAAAGGCACTAAAGGTGGCTGCAAAGAAGCCTCTCCAATAATTGCGCACAGCAAAGTAAGTGGAGGTGACCTCGATGCTGAAAAGAACCCCTAGAAAGAGTTGGAAAGGGAGCAAAGCTAAAATAACAAGTGTCATATGAGAAGCATGAAAGAGGATTCTAAATAGCTTCCTAGAGCAGTGGTCTCCACACTTCTTTGATCATGCACCCCTACCAGAAAAAGGTTTATGAGCATGTACTCTCCCCCATATCTGTATTTATTAAAAAATAATTTGCATGTACTACTGTACTAAAATATTGTGTACAATATCAAACATGCACAAAAATAGAAAATAGACAAGGATGAGATAAAGATGAAATGAACATAATTTTAAAAAGAATTTGTTTTATTTATTAATGGAACTAAAAAAATTGTTCTCACTAAAATACTAATATTCTTTCTTTTTTTAAAAAAAATCTGTGTTTTAACACTTTGTGACCCAGAGATTCAAAGGTCTGGTTCCATAGTCAATTATTTTGATACTTGGTCTAAAAAGAATATCTCACAAAGACACATAGATCCAAATGCAAGAAATGTATCATTGGCTGTGCTGGCTAAATCATGATACTATTTTTTCAATCCCACCCACCACGTACGCAAAGATTTTTATTAAAATTTGGATAGTAAATTTTCATCCTCCTTGATGTCAATCAGTTGTTGCAAGACAATCAGAAGATGTCGAATTTTTATATTTTTAAAAAGTGGGTTCAAAACTCACTGAAAATCATAATCTTGAAAAATTTTTAAAAGGTAGAAATTTCTGGGTTTTCTAGTTTTCTAGTTCTGTTTTCAAGTTTTTTGAGTGTATATATAATGATAGTTTTTATAACTAAGACACATTGTATTTGGCAACAGATTCACAAAACCTCCACAAGTTTCTTTTGCAAAACAGTTTCTCACCCACTGTTAGAACATCACTTTCACCTTGAAGTACATTAAGTATGTTTACATTTTCAAAAATAACTGCTGGGTTGCAATCTACTGACAGATACTTGTCATCACAGAAAGGATCAGCAAATTCAGAACACTTGTCGTTTTGTAAAAGAAAAAGGTGCAACTGGACTTTAAATTCTATTCTTCTTTAAAGTTGCTATCAGATAACCAGAAAATACCTGTTATTTTCAGGATTTTCATGGTTATTTCCCATCTTGTTATGAAGTATTGTAAAGATTCTACTCTTTCAGGGTCTTGTTTTTATTAAATGAACCACATCAACAACATCCTGTAGCAATTTGTGCATGTCTGGCTACCATTTCTTTGCTGCAATAGCTCATCTGTGAACACTGTAGTGCATGAATTCCAGATGTAGTGGTGTCTAGGTAACCTTACCCCCCAATTCTTCTCTTACTCTGCTAGACCACTTGTTACACATGCAGAGGTCTTCCAGAAAAAAATTTTATTAAAGAAGTAATTTACTGTTGAAAATATAGTTTCTGTGGTAGATATTCCTTTCAGTGTCTCACAGAAAGAAGTTCTGCTTTTCACTATTGAAACAGACTCTGGAAAATACCATCATCTGAGGCATTTCAGAAACATCTGTACTCTAATCCAGCTGCACAGGAAACATCTCCTACTGTGTAATTTGTACAGACCCTTTTTTCTTCAAACCTTAAGCAATGTCTGCTGTGCATCTTTCAGCAGTGTTTACTGATGAAAGAACACATTTTAGTTTGCAGCTCTATTGCTTTCTGTGCACTATCCCAGCCATTTTTACATTTTATGGCAGGAAGAACGAGTGTTTCCCCTGCGGTATGTGGCATTTTCTCTTTTGCTGTGAAGCAAGAGAACTCAAAGGAGGCTCCTACACATTTGTCATTAGATTCAGTGAAGTTTTGTGAAGTATTGGATTGAATGTCACTGAAGTATTGGATTGAATGTCACACAGCTTGAAACATCACTGAAAAAATTGTAGAGGTTTGTCTTCATGTTCTGGATGCCTAGATTTTAAGTGTCTTACTAACTCTGATGGCTTCATACCCTCATTAGTTAACTTCTCAAAGCACAATACACACACAGGGTAAAGTTCATCCTTAATGATAGCAGATGTAAATTCATATTTCAAATAACCTTTGATAATTTTAATCTTCTTTTATCTGCCTTCCTCTCAGATCTGATTAGCTGGCCATTGTTTCTACCTCATAATGGGACTGAAAAGGGCTTGTGCTAGAAGTGTCAGCTCTGCCATTTCTTGTCATTTCTCTGTGCTCACATTATTAGTATTATCTTCAATCCATAGCCTCTTTGTGAGGATTAATTTCATTAGCACTCGATAATATAATCCATAAATCCACTTAATCCAGTGGGGGCACACATTGATTGCTATTCATTGCAGTATGCTGAAAAAGAATAAATTATGAAGGCACCATGGTCAACCCCCCATGTTGGGAGCAACCCTACACCTCATGCATTGTATGTGACAAGTGGCCATGTGACATAGTAGAGCACCACTGCCAATACAAATACGTAATATTAGCAAAGTTTAATCTATTTACTTTTCTATATTAAAAAATAGGAATTCTGGTATTTCCTTCCCACACCCAGCAGATCACCTTGTGCAGCCCCTGGGGTATGCACATCCCAATTTGGAGACCACTGCTCTAGAGAGGCTTCTCCTCTTGCCTCCAGAAACTGTGGGAAAGATACTGTCAGAGATGCTGGGGAGGTTGAAACCACTAAAGGTAAGTGTCTCTGTCCAAAGTAAATGTCAATCAAAAATGTGGTGCAGGAGAGGAGGAGAGGAGAAGAGGACTAGGTGGGAGAGGATTTAGGTACCCGAGGAAAAGGAAACAGAACAGCCACTTGCCTCCAAGTGGTGTCCCAAAGCAGCAGCCAACACCCACAGCACACCCCACAGTCAGGACATCCGTGTAATAATAGGGCTGCTACTGGTGAAAGAGACAAAGAGAGACAGACAAACAGAAGAAAGAAGGAAAGAAAACAGAGAGTGAGTAACAAAATTGGCAGGTATCACTGCATGATGTCACCCAGCTCTGTTGCCAGTCTCAGAGTTACTGCTATGTTTATCTTACTGCTCCCTTCTGGATGGCTTCAAAATATTGAAAAGGCAAGACCTGGCACAGGACAGGCATATACCTGGAATCACACATTCAAGAAACATGAAGAAGGCAGCACCTCATTTTCCTTTGAAACATACACATTTCTGTCACTGTGGAAGAAATACCTCATGGAAAATCCTCCAGAGGGTGGAAGGAGCATAAGTAGGTTTCGCTCCAACTCTTTTACTTTGGCAGGGAATCTCAGGATGTGCATGTGCCACAGAATGCCTCAAAAAACTACCCTGTGACTCAGTGTGCACAAGGCACACACATGTCCAGAGCAGAGCGTGGACTGATGCTGAAGGTTCTTCCATGCTGGGTGAGTGGGTGACAGATCACCCAGAAAAGCATTGTACTGTCCTGGTGAAAATGGTCATAATAATAAAAAAAGTAATTGGAAGGTATAAAAGGGAGATTCTTTCTAAGAGACTGGGTACCATTTGCTTGTCAAGGGCTAAACTGGCTTTTCAAATCCATCCTCCTTAATACACAGGGTGGTATTTACCTGCAACAACACCAAGAAGTTACACACCAGGGCAATATGAAATCAAACTGCAAGCTATATCCTGGACCAAGGTCAGCTGAAGATTACATGACTCCCACATAGTAGAAATCACATTTCATAATTTGGTGTAAATCCAAAAGAGGAACTAGGGCTACAGAAACTGATAACTTTCTGTTTGTTCCCATACTACAGTGGTATCACAGACTCACAGCAAGTTTTACTCCTGTGTTTCTGAATGCTACTCTATCTCTCTGTTCAGAACTGGGCTAACTGGGATAGATCTGTTAGAACTAGGGTAATAGGATCAGGGTACTCAGAATCAGGCTGCTAAGGCAGCCCTGAACACCTTCAAGGGCAGTGATTCCCCAGCATCTAGTGACACCTGTGCCACCCTGAACCACTTTTGGGACAAGGGGAGAAATTCTTTTCATGTGTAGATAGAATTTCCTTTGTTGCAAGTTCTGCGTCCTCTGAGAAGACTTTGGCTGTTTTGTCTGACATCTCCTTTATCTACCAAAGGCAGCATTGAGATCATTCCCTGTTGAGCCTTCTGTTTTCTTTTCTAGCATCTCCCAGTCATCTATGTATGATGCATCCTGGAGTCTCTGAGATTATCTTTATTCCAGGTACAAAGAAACAAGAAGTATAGACTTACACAGATATTTTTTTAAATTTTGAGGTTTTTTCTTTATTTTTTTTACCATTAAGACAGATACTATTCTCCTGTATACTTCAAATGGCTCCACCTGACTGTGATCTGATCCTTGGTTCTGAAACTGCTTTCTCTCAAGGCTTTTGGCAGACTGACAAATTTTGCCTTGAAGCCTCAGGCTTCAGCTCAGACTGTCTCCATCTTGCTAGACTGCCCACATATGCACAGTTCTCAGCCTCTCTCTTGCTTAGCCTGATTTTCTTTCTGGAACTTTTCTCAAGTTATCAACTGAAGAACCTCTAATCTGTAGCTGACAAACTATGTTCCTTCCTTGACTTTTTTTTTTTTTAATGACCAACCAGAGTAAAGATAAGTATTACTGCTGATGCAAGACCGTGTTGCAGTTGTCATCTAACTCATCCATTTGAAGACTAACAGGAAAGTAGTGCATGGAAGAACTAAAGCCATCTTAGAAAAAACCATAGCATTTAAAAACTCCTTACACTTCTGGGTACACTAACTGTGCAAAGAGGTTCAGGGCAGCACATGGGGAGAGGGGGAAGTGAAATGAAAGACCAATTATTTATTAATATGTTTCCACTGCTTTAGAAAGAAGTTATCATGTGCCTCTGTTTAAAGAAATTCAGCAAATCAGAAGAGTAGTACAAATGCATGGGGGAGACATAAATTTCCAAATTTCTCGTCCAAGTGGGATAATGGAAAGTTGGGAAGGGACCCCTGGAGTTGTCTCCCTGCTCAAAGAGCCGTTAGTTCTGTTAATTCCAAGGCTAGGTCAGGTTCTTGTCCAGGTGAGTCTTGCACATTTCCAAGGGTGGAATTTCCCTGGACATTCTGAATACCTATGCCAGTGCTGGACCACCTTTGGGAGAGAAGAACATAATTTCCTTTAACAGAGTAAAAATTTCCCTCATTGAAAGTTGTGCCTGTTGCCTCTTGCAAAGTTGGTTTGTTGGTTTGTCTTTTTTTTTACTTCTGTTCTCTACTTGATCGTTACTGACTTTCTGGATAGCCCTTGGTACTCTTCAGGTGGAACAACGTTCATGGCTGGCAGAGACTGAGCAAGCTGCATCATTAGAAATCAACACTTAAATAGGTGTCACTTTTCCTGTAACCTTCCCTTCCTTTCGCTGCCACCAGTTACATGTGAAAAGAAAGAGCTCGTGTTGCTGAAGTGGAAAGGTATCTGTGGTGAACCTTTCCTGGGAGCAGGAGGTCTCACAGCAAGAGGTCAAAGGAACTGTACATTAAATGTCACATATAGGAAGACACTTGCCTCCAAGAGGAGCCTTGAAGCAACATCCGACTCCAACTGCGCAAGCCGGCACCAGGAGGTCGAGCTGCCTATGCACATTCTGGAACAGGGAGTGCAGCCAGAGATGGGCATGCTGGGGTTAGAGGGAGCAAAGCCACGGCGTTAGGACCCAGAACAATGGAAAGAAGCAACAGCCAGCAGCACAGTCAGCCATGGCTATTACAAATAGCAGGCTGTACACACTTTAGTGCAGTCTTTAGTACTGTCAGCTGGTGACATCTGACAGTGACATCTGCTCCTTGTGCACAGACAGGATCTACTGAAGGAGAACAGCACCTCCAGTTGTATTACACAGTCATTTTCTGCTAAGAGCCTGCACATAAAGGAGTTCCTACATTTATCTATATGTGCAGTTAATAGATTTTTTTATACAACCAGTCAATATGGTGATCAGCCTGCAGAGGCTGTTCGGTATAGCAAAAGCATACAGACAGTGTCAGTGTCTATAATTAGCAATGCTGTATAAATTTGGCTTAAAGACAAATTGATCTTTGTCTGCAGCTACTTTTTTATACAGTCAATGATCACAGGGCAAAGGCATCAATCACAAGATTGAAAACTTGTGAAACACATACTCCTAACCAGCCTCTGTGTAATTTCTGGGCAACATTGGTGGTGGTCCTGCACAGTTATTTGGACTGCATGCCTGGCCTTGCACTACTTTTGTTCAGCCTGTGTTTTGCTGCTCTATAGCAGTACAGTAAACATCAATCTGTGTTCCATGTGTTCCATGGCCTGCCCATACTATCCTGGGTGTCTCAGGAGCTCAGCCTGTGGAAGAACTGTGTGCAGAGATATGTGCCTTACCTCATACACCCCACAAAAGATCGACATGAACTTGCTGAGTACCACAGCACAGATACTGGCAATATGCACAAAAGGACCCTGTAAGAGAAGAGAAGAAAATCAGAGATGGTTGCCCTCTGGTTACTGACAACCATTTAGCCACTGCAGGCCTCATAACTTCTCTGCCATCTCAGCCAGTAATAGAACCATCAAGGCTGGAAATCACCTCTGAGATCATTGAATCAAACCTTTATTGCAGCATCACTGTGTTCACTACTAAAACATGTCCCCAAGTGCCACAGCCACACACCTTTTGAACTGTTCCAGGGATACTGATTGCACCACTTGCCTTTTCAATGCCTGACCACCAGCTCATTGAAGAATTTTTTCCTAATATCCAATCTAAACCTTGCCTGGTGCAACTTGAAGCTATTTCCTCTTGTCTTGTCACTGGTCACCTGGGAGAATCGACTGGTTCCCACCTGGCTACAACCTCCTGTCATGGAGTTACAGAGTGAGAAGGTCTCCCCTGAGCCTTTTTTACTCCAGATTAAGCAACCTCATTTCCCTCAGCCACTCCTCATAAGATTTGTGCCTTAGACCCTCCAATCTTCCTCAATTCTCCTATCTCCATTTAATTTTTTTCCCTCTCAAAGACTACCTGACTAGAATTTGGTGTTTCCTATATCATGTCTTTGAAGGTGGAAGGAAAATGGCCAGTGAAAGATAGGTGCTGCTGGAAAGAGCAGAGCTTTGAGAAGGGGAAAGGTGGTGAAAGAAAGAAAAGTTGTCTTTTACAGACAGCTGCACCTTCCAGACCCTGGTCACCACTGCACACAGAATCAGCAACATTTACCTCTTTCCCCACAGGCATGCCACTTCCAAGCCCAGCTGTGAGGGCCACAACTTTGGCCACAAAAGCTTTGAGAGTGAGATACTCCTTGAGGACCACTCCCCTCATGATGGTCTTGAGCTCTGGGATCCCAGACCCTGAAAGCAACAGCAGAGCCGGGGATGAACAAAACCCGCGGGCAAGCGGAACAAGAAAAACAAGACAGACAGAAACAGATCCTGCCCTGCCTTCTGTCCTCACCGACAGCCTGTGGAGAGACGAAGTGGCAGAAACTGGCCGCAAACAGAATGAGGCCAAGCGGGACCACCACCCACACGGCATACTGCAGGGGGACATTGGGGTGCAGCGCTCCGTAGATCCACTTGTAGGCTGAAACACACAAACACAGAACCCGTCAGTAACCACAGCTGCTCCAAACAGGCTGGTAGACATCAGACAGTCACACGCTTGCTAAACGTGCCCATGCTAAATCTCCTTCTGAAATGGTGCCCGCATGTCCTTTTCTAAGACAAGCCTTGTTTTGAGTGCGAGCTCCCCAACAATGCAGGTGTTCTTCAGGGATGGATAGAAGACACTAAGTGATACCTGTGCATAAGTGTGGCATAAAAAGAGGTCCTCATATGCAGCTGTGAGGACAAATCACTGTGTCCTCATTTGGCAGTCTGAGGGTCTTGTGTGGGTTCTGAACGACAATAAAGTGGTCCACCAATGGCTCCTTCATAAAAACCTAGTTTAAAAGCTCTGATTGTGATTTCCCTTCCAGAGGAGCAGAATGGAAGCTGTGCCAGCAGCTATTAGAACAGCAGTGGCACCATTGCTCAGCCAGGTACAACAACATGAGCTGCTGAGAATCCAAAATGAACTGCAGCTCCTCTGCAACTGCATCTTCTCTGCCTGAGCTGGCTCCCCACACAGCCCCAGCAGAGGCTGAGACTTGGCAGGGGAAAAGGAAGAAGAACCCCAAAGGACTCAGCTGCAGGGAGTATAAAGGACAGGAACCCTCAGAGTAAATTATACCAGTCACCTGGGGAAGCTCTGGAGGGAGGAACACTGGGCTGAAAGAATGTTGAGAGCTTTGAGGAATTGGAGCAGACAAGAGGAAAATGTTGGTGTATGTGTGTGCCAGTCAGGACTGGGACGTGAGGGTAAGGACAAAGGAACAGTTAGCAGGATATGGCAGTGGGTGGGATGTGTGTATGTGCACACTGAGATGGGGTCTGAAAGATCTGGTAATTTTTGTAGCTGGCAAAGGGAGACAGAGCACAGGAAAAATGCAGAGAAAGGATATAAGATGGTATAGGAGATCTCTGTGAAAAGGGCAAAAAGAGAGAGCACTATATGCCCAGATAGCAAAAGAATTCAGGGCACTGTATAAATAAAAACTGGAAAGAACAAAAATGAGGTAAAAAAGCAGAATCAGTATCAGGAGGGCATTTAAGAGCCCCTTCCCTCCATTGCCCATGTTCTTAATATTCTTGGGGAGAAAGGGAAGCTATATAACAGGAAAGGCCACAATAATATTTCCCTGTGTTCCTGCATATTCAAGGGAGCAGAAAGAAAAGGGATTAAAAATAATTGTTTGTCTCTGACTCATCATACACATATCCCTTGTTTCTGCCCACTTACTTCCAAAATTTCCCCTGTCATCCCTTTAAAGAACCTCTCCCTAGCCAGCCTTTACTACACTGCCAGAACTTCAAACTTCCTAGGCAGCAAGGGTTGAGGATGGGACAATGATGTTAAAGGAGGAGCAACACTTTGTAAAACATTTGCATCATTTACTGGCTGCTTTTGCAACACCTGAATGGGACCCACCCTGTACGGTCTTTGCACTGGCATAATCCACTCCCCAGCTCACCAACGCCATGACCAGACCCAACAGAACCAAGAAAATCCAGTCCTCTCCAAGCTTCTTGGTAACATATTTCTGGATGCGTTTAGCACAATCTGTGGAGGGAAGAGTGAACCAGAAAAACTGAGTGAACATAAATAAAACTGTGTCTGTCTCTCCTGTGCTGAGAGCTGACTAAAACAAGGATTTATTTGGAGGCATCATGAGCTTCATGTTGAAGGACTGATACCCATCCCTCTCTCACACAGCTCTGTAACATCTTATACAGTTTAAAAAGCATTAAAAAAGGGATAGGAGTGTACAGGACACACAGGGTGGAATTTAACATCTTGTACAGTAACAGCAAAAGTCTGATACAAGGAGGTCCTTTTCCTCCCATTACAGAGCTCTGTTGTGGAAAAAAAATATTTTGAGGATGAAAGCTCATATAGAAAAAGTTTTTCAACCCAATGAGATTAGATTCCTTTTCCTTCCTTCTCTGCTTCTCTCCAGTCACAATTGCTTAAATCCCATCTCTCTTGCTGGCCTACCCAATATCTGGTAATAGGGAATGAACCATGAATTGTCCCTACCTTGACATTTGGAATAGTGCTCTTCTTTGATCTGTACTTGACTGTCACGTTTCAGGGGTTGTCCATTGTTCCTTTGGGCCTGTTTCTTCAGTAGTTTTGCTGCTTCCTTGTCTGAAATGTTATCTGTTATCCGGTCTGTGTATCGGCCATAAAGCTAGAGGAGCAGAAAACAAGAGGGATCACAAGGAAAAGGTAAGGCAAATGTTCCTTCACAGATAGCATTAAGGATGACAAGGCAGATCTACCAACAGTCTGAGGTACAGACCCAAATGTACCAAGCAGGGAGACTGAGACACAGAAACTCTCAGACAGATTCAGCTCGTTTATTTTTTCTTCTTTTTCTTTCTAATTTCTTCTTTCCAATCTCTCCAAAACCTTTTCACCTCCTTTTTGGGAGTACAAGATACGATCACAGAATATTTGTTATTTTCTAATGTCCTGGGGGAAAAAATGGCCGAGAGATTGAACATTAAGAAACAGCATTTGAGCATTAAGAGACAGCTTTCTGGAGGTACAAAAGAAGGTCAAAGTAGTTCACACGAGGCCACCATCCTCAGGGCTGTCTCATAGATTTCAGGAGCACTGTAAAACATCTCTGAAGGTTTTGAGAGGCATTACACTCTCAAACAGGCTGCAGGAATGTCCTGCATCTGTTCCTCCTGCTGCCAAGGAATGCTTAACAGGGCACACAGCCACTGATGGTGCTGGTGGAGGAAAAGAAGCAGCATCATCTCAAAAATATCACAGGCTGCTGCACACTTCCAACCATTATTTACCCAAATCAGCATTTTAAGTCCTCCTGTATCTCAAATTCCTTTAAAATTCCTAATTGCTTAATCTAGTCTTTTTCTTTTGATACTAGACTTGAAAAGCAGCTGGTTATATGCAATTCACAATCAGCTGCATGTGCTCACCAAGGACATTTCCTACAGTGAACTGGGCAGTTGTGCTGTCTTGTCAACGTCTTAAAGGAGTTTGAAGAACCCTGACTGTGCTCCGTGTTTGTTTACCAGATTCCCTGAAGTGCAGCTATCCCACCTCACTCTTTCAGAGTATAGGTGGGGAAGGTGTGCATTTGAGAAGCAGAGAATAAACCTCTTCTCACATATCCTTCAGTGAACCAGGTTTGGCTCTACTTCAGACCAGATTACCACCTGATGCACTGTGACAAGGTGGCCCTTTGCTCCCTCCCAGCACATCTGCTTCTCTGAGATTTTCTGAGTGGCAGGAGGAGAATGAGCCATGTTTTGATCAGCAAAACCAGACACTTAAGCTGGAGAATGAGAGGACATATGACAGAGATAAAGCACTACCACACACTTAGGAGACATTTCTATTTGACAGTTCCTGCCTCCCCATTTCAAGTAACAGCAGAGATGTTCCTGTTCCTTTGAGATAAAATAGATATAGGGACTCACAGAAAGATTTACAGTGGAAGGCACCTCTGGAGGTTTCTAGTCCAAACCTCTGCCCACAGCCTGCAAACTCCAAAGCCAGGTAAGCCAGATTAGGCTGCTCAATACCTTATCCAGGCAACTCCTAAATATCTACAGGAGTAGAAATTACCCAGCTTCTCTGAGCACCTGTTTTAGTGCTCCACCAACTAGTATTTCAACATAACAAATATGACTAAAGGTCCTAAGTATTTTATTTATTTGCACAAATTCCTCAAGAGACACTTGAACCATGTGCCATAGCTCCCTTTGAAAATCCTAGTGGATTTTTTTTTTCACAGAACCCCTATCTATGCTTTTTAAATCATCCTGGTCTGAAGATGGCTCACCTGCTGCCTCTTAAACAGATTGATCCTGTCTGAACATCTGAAAGTATTCTTCCTGTCTTCACTGTATTGGAAGCCACACAAATTTAATGCCATTATTAACCACATGATTACCAACACATTCTAAGTAAATTAAGAAGACTTTGCAGGGAATAATGGCCATGCTCTGACCCCCTTAAAATAGACAGCACAGTGAAGCATCAGGCTGAAGAATTTTATCTACAGGGTAATTGCCACATACATAATGCAGTCCTACCTGGTAAACTGCTATTTTTTTCTGTGTCTTTTAGACAGAAATGCCAAATACTAGCAGATTTTAGACAAATTCATCTTCCCATCACCTCAGCCAGTGTTTCATTGCTGTTAAGTGGTCATGAGAGATGGGTTTATGTCAAATACAACTTAAACCCATGTCAAGTATGAGATTAAAATTAGAATCTTCCATCTGCCAGACAGAACAGCATGACAGTATAATAGTATGAATGCTGAAAATCCTCATATGGTATCCAAGTTCCCTGCTTCTGCCTGGCTGTAAAGTGGTGCAGTCAGGATATTGGGGGAAAAAAAGGAGTTAGTCCACAGAGATAAAAAATAAGTTGCTGTCCTGGCAAACCAGGTAGTCTCAACACATATAAAGAATGCTTCACACATGTACTTTGCTCCTCCAGAATTCTGGAAGTATATAAAATGGTAGGAGATTGCAGGACAGAGAAAGAATCCAGAAATCAGAGGATGACCTTACAGCAAAATTGGGTTAGGCAAGAAATATCCACTCCACTAGAAGATGTAAAACTAAAAATATAACACAGTACAACTCTGACTGTTCCTTCTTCTGTTGCTCCCTCTCTAACACAAGGAACACAGAGTTTCTGAGCACCAGAAGAAATGAAGACAATTTTAAAGGTCCTCAAATACCACCTAAGGGTTGAACCAGAAAAGATACTATGATGCCTACTTGGCTAAATGCTGAGGGAGCCACCAGAACAATGCAAAAACAGCTGAAGGTATAAATACCACTCAGGATACATGGGAGGAGCATACATTTCCCCCCCAAAAAAACCCCAAACAAACAAAAAAAAACAAACAAACAAAAACCAACCACAACCAAACCATCCAGGAAGAAAGCACAACCAGGCAAAGTTTGTTTTCAGAGATGAAGAATTTATCTATGCAAATGATCTTTTATCTTTCCAAAAATTGGGGCAATTTCTTTTGTTTGAGTTACAGAGGAAGAGCTACACAGAATCTCAGGGGAAAAAATACATCACAATCTCAAGACTTTTCTGGGAGCTATTTTCTGAGGGGTCAGCATCTCTGTAAAACTGCCCTCCTCCCACAGTCCAAGCTATTTCCCAAGCTATTTCCCATGCCATTCAGACTGGACAATACATTCCCCACAGAATACTCCAGTCCTGAAATCCCTTTCCCCAACTCTGCCAGTGCATCCTGTCTATGATCTGCTGCTCCCAGCCACTGAGGCAGCCCCAGCCTCTACTCCCCTTCCCTCTCACTCCTGCCTTGTAGCCATCCTGCTATTCCTAAAATTATCTTCCTTAGGTGATTTTTTTTGCCTCATGCATCACCAAGGAGAAGCCATATCTGACCTCAAAGGTGAAAACTCCCAAAATACTCAACATACATGAATTTAAATGTCAGTAAAACATCTCAGTAACTGCTTAGACATAGAGCCAATGAGGCACATGTATGGGACAGGGGACAGCAACAAAATAATAGTTGTTCCTGAAGAAAAGGCAGCAAAGGGGAACTCTAACAGCAGTGCCACTACCTAAAGGGAGAGAAGGGCTGGAGGGAAACATCAGAGCAAGATATCTCAGAGGGGCACAGAGATGGACAAAAGGGGAAAAGTATAACTTTTAAGAAAAGAAAGCCCCTGCAAAGGAACACATGTCCCCATCCAGCCCCACTTGATAGTAGGTCAGCACAGGAGCAGGTGCCCAGAGGGGCTGGGGAATCTTCAGTGTTGCAGATGTTCAGAATGTGTCTGGAAAAGGCTCTGGACAACGTGACCAAACTTTGGAGTCAGCCCTGCTGTGAGCAGGGGCTTGGGCTGGTGAGCTCCAGAGGCCCTCCCACCTCTGTGATCCTGTTTTTCTGTATTACTGCATTGCCTGATTTCTTATTGCACATCCCTCCCACTACACCCATCTGTGTATTCCTGAGTGAGCTCCCTGCCAGGAACACCCTTTCTATGGTCACAAATAGCACAGCTTTAAAATACTTCACCAGCTGTAACTGCTTTCTCATGCAGAAATAAAACAATACAAAATCCTACAGTGCAGGATAATGCATATTTTTAACAAGGTATATGACATCGCCTGTTATATTAATTGTCAAAAATATATGTGTATTGTTGTTATTTTTATTATTATTATTTTCCTACTACTATTATGTTATTATCTATTATCAACTGTATGTTTTTGACTAAAAATTATCTGAAGGTCCAAGGTTAAAGATCAAGATTTCACTATTTTAGGGTCTGTGTAAACCAAGCCAAATCACACGTACAACAGGAGGCAACAGCTAGCAGAAAAAGCGAGCAACAGAATAAAAATCTCTGTCAAATGTTTTTTCACATGACAGTGGGGAAAGAAATCTTAATTATTACTCTGTGTGGAAATGGATGAAAACATTTTTCATGCTATGTGAAAACATACTATGAAAACATAGTTTTTAATGCTAATTACATGATAATAAGTGTGCATGATTGTACAAAGTACCTGTGCATATTTATAATTTATTTGTATGTGCATGAATGACCAGCAAAATATACACATCCACAGCAAACCTGGCTTAGCCAGATTATGCTTGCATGCAAAGTTCCATGATAAATGTACATGCACACGTGCATATGCATAACTGCTGGACACTGCTTATATAAAATATTTCTAGGACATAATTTTGGGAATGGGAATAGGTTTGATGACCTTCTTGTTTGTATGTGAGATCATCTATCTACCTGCACTGACCACCACGCCACTGGAATTGAGCACAGAGAGACTCTGGTGTCAGGGAGCAAGAGCACAGAGCTGGTGGTGTTGCCTCACTGTGTCCTCTGTGCCTACTGGACAGTGTTTTTAGATGAGTGGGACTGGCATATCTGCTGGATATGTGTGAACTGGGATGTTCCTGTGCATGGATGTGCTTTACTGGAGAAAGGATTTGCATCTCACCACACCCCAGCTCACTCCTGGTTCATGGCACACACACATAGGTGCATTTCCTTCACCCAGCTCAGCTCTCCCACTGAATTTGCACTCCACAGGGCAGGTGTGACCCCAGTGGAGCTCAGCCTCGGGTGGGCACACACACCTCTCCACCCCATCCCCTTAGCATGATGCTCAGCTAAGGCAGTGCTCACCCTCCTAGCATGGCTGCTGCAGCCAAAGCACTGTTTTGTGTTGATGTAAATAAAGCCTGAACTGCTCCAGTCAGAGCTCTGACCACTTGGTTTGCTGCCTCAAATAAGCCAGTGGGATGGTTTTGGAAGACTTTAGTGGAGGAGACATGCAAACTCTCAGATGTTGTTGGCAGTTTCAGAAGAGAAATTCCTGAATATGGCCATGGAACTGATTCTCTGATCTGTGGCAATGTGACACATAACTATCCTCACTGGGATGCTTATCTACTGGAAGAGATTTTCTTGGTGGCAAATCTGCCTCTTTTCCCATCACTAAAACACTCAAGTCTTTAGAAGACAATGCAATCTCCTTCATTCCCCAATCATTCACCATCCATGTAAGAGGATTTGTATTCATTTAAGAAGAAACATCCACTTTATGAATTTCACATTCACACACTCTCTTCCTCATAATTTGACTGGATCCTTCATTGCACCGAAGCTCTCTTAGATCAGCTTAATCAGAACAGAGTGGTAGGAAATAAGATACCAGGACTCTGCTGTAAACCCTCCCCTTTGCAGGAGGCTGTCCCAGAAGAAGAGGTACGGGAGATACAGAGCATAATGAACAAACAGCCACAACCAGAGTACATCTATGCTCCAGACATTTTTCTGAACCAGTGCTTTTATGAACCACAGCAAGAGTCAGGTCACACTTAAGGGTTAGAAAATCCCTCACTTACAGTTCCACTAAGAGTTATCAAAAATACCAATATACATGTATGGCTCTGTGACCATGAAGGGCTTTATGGTCAGACAAAAGTCACAAGAGAGCTTTACTTCATCTACACAGCTGTACGTGTACCCATACAAATACATCACTGCTCTCTCTGATTTTACTCACTCCTGTGCTTTACTCAAAATCACTGTGCAGCTGTGGGCAGCTGCAGCTTCTCTTGCTGTTACAAACACATTATTGCTCTGGTTAATTTTCCCCATCCCAGCTTGCCCATTCCAAGTCTCCTTGCATCCATGGCGGGCGACAATAAGCTCTGACTTGAATCACTGGTAGGATCCTCGGTGGGAGTACAGCCACGAATGCCAAAGGCTGACCTGGAGTCGCCAGGAGAAGGGGAGAGCTGGTGGGGCTGGGGGTGGACAGGGGTGTGTGGGTGTGTGCTCTGCCAGTGCGGTTCCGAGAGCCCGGAGCCAGCGTGGTGCCAGGGAGGCCTGCGCTGCCACAAGCGTGTCCAGCCCTACCTGCGGGTGGCTGAGGGAGTTCTCCGGGGAGCGCAGGTCGTCCCCGGTCGCCCCGGCCTCGTGTCCTGCCTCCACGGGGATCCCGTACGGGGTGCATTTCTCAAAGCAGACATAGTCGTATTGCGGTGTGCCCCCCCACAAAGCTGGCTTCCAGCCGGGCTCCTGCGTCTTGCTCTCTGAGCTCTCCATTCCTCCACTCCTCCTCACGCTCATCTGTAACTGAGTTGCTGCTCTGGGCCTTACCTAGAACCACCTCGTGTTCTGGCAGAGAGCATGGCCTCCGCATTCTCTGCTGATCCTTCCTTTCTCTCTCTCCTCCAACTTGTCCTGTTCCTGCACTCTCTTTCTCTCTGCCCCTCCTCCTCCTTGAGCCTCTCTCACTTTCTTCCTTTCCTGCCCAAATGGTTCAACTATATTTATAGCAACCTTCCTCTGCCACATGATTCCCCGGTGCCGTGTCTGATCTCAGCAGAAGGCAATAACTCTGCTGGGATTGAATATCAGGTGTGAGCAAGAGGGGAACTCCTGAAGGAGAGGGAGGGGGCAGGGGGAAGGAGGTGGTGTGACAGACAGAGCTACAAGCACAGAGACAGAAAGCAGACAGGAGGAAGAAGAAATTATTATCCAGGATATCACTTCTTTCACAGCTCCCCATCCCACGCACTCTGGGTTTGCCATGAAAACAAAGGTCAGTGGGCTTCCTCATTTTCTCCCCAGACACCAGCTGCCCTAAAGACTGAGCAACAATCATAAAGAAGCCAGCAGCTATGGTGAGATGGAATGAGATGGGTGTTCACTCAGTGTCCCAAGACAATTTTTCTGAGTGCACAGTTCACAGCAGCAAACCCTAATGGAGAAGTCAGGCATCCCTGTAAACTGCTGAACATTACAGTCTAATCTCAGCCTTCCCAGGTGTTCTTATGGGGAATACTTTGCACTTCAAAGCACATCACCAAACTGCTCTGTGGGGACTCAATTATAGGTGTATGCAGAAATTTAATTCTTCTTGATGCTCACTTTTTCACAGACTAGAGCATTCAACAGCTTCTCCTCTCCACTTTGGAATTTGCACATTCCAAAGAAGAAGTGGGGAATGAAACGTAAATTTTAAGGAATTTAGACTCTGCCACTTGTTTCTCAGCCAGGAAGAGAACCAACAAGTTCAGCCAACACCAGTGAGCTACCAGCCAGCAGCAGGAATGAGAAGCATGTTACAGCAATTTGGCCTAGAGACATCTCCCAGTACTGTCAGTGTGCTGCCTGGAACCATATTTCTTCTGAGGGCTATTAATTAGGGAGGAGCAGAGAGTTCAAGGTCCCAGAAACTGTATACAAGAAAAAAAGACCTCACATGCCAAGAGTAAGAGATTTGCAGGCAGGATGGGGTAGAGAGAAGGGCAAAACACCCTTTTCTGGGCCCAGAAGAGTGATCTTATTATTTCATTTTGCAGACTCCTGTAAAACATTTCTTCTTTTGCTTTTTTTTAAAGTCTGCATGGTCCTTGACAGTAAGGTAGAAAGAAAGTCTCCATGAGGAAGACACACAATTTCTTCCACAAATCACCTTCTCCATGTTCTTGCTAAGATATGGATATCCATTAGGAGTAATATCCACATGGATAAGGTTAGTGTATACAACTTACAACTGGTATGAGGTCAGGCAAGCACTGAATATTTACAAAAGCAATATTAGTGCTGCCCCAAAATTCACAAGCTCTCCTGTTTCATTCTCACCAGCACACACTTACTGTCAACAAGCACTATCTTCTGCAGGAAGACTGTGTCCCATAGGCAGGACAAAACTTGAAATTAATCACCTTAAAGAAGAGTTTCTAAGTGACTGTGTCTAGGAAATCAGAGAAAAACTTTTGGTTGCCCTTACAGGTTACCATTAAAAAGGTATGAATTGCTCCCAACCTATTGAGATGCTTTCGGAAGGCCATTGTCATCATGGCTTATATAAAAAATGATGCATACCACATTGTGTATAAAATATAAAAAGCTGTCTAAAATATAAGGTACATCATGTATAGGAAGCCTAAAAACTGAACACAGTAGAGCCCAGCAAACATCAAAGCTGTAATACAGCACCAGATCTTCGGTCACTATTATATGTACTGGAGGAGAACACTCATCAGACCCACTGCAGAAAACTAATGAGAACCTTTACCCAAAAGTGCACTCCTGTAGCTCTTGTTTTTCAAGAGGCACAAGAATGGCACATTAGAAATTGCTGCAGTATAAAAATGAATTCTCTACTGCCAGCTAATCAAACTCTAATGCCTGACTTGCATGATACTGTTGTGGAATTTCCACGGGAAATAATGATAGCATAATAGCCCAAAAGAGGATGATTCTACCCTGAAAGGCTTTTTCCAAGAACTGTCCCTCTCAGCTTCCAAACTGGCCACGGCCTCACTCACCTCATCAATTAAAGCATGAAGGACCCAAGGCCAACCAAGTGACTCCAGAAGAAGAAGAAACCTTTACTAATCTCACTAGGAAGACATCCTACAAAGCCCCTGAGCCCTCACTCGCTCTTCCCACAGTGTAACACACCTCAGGCAGTGCATGGCAGCGCTGCAACGATGCAGCTGATCCTGAGCAATCACTGTGTCCAGCATGGCACCTATGCACTTAGCTCACCTGTAGCTAAGAACCTCATACTCAACGTTTAATTCCCACTTCTCATCAAACAGCATCTCTCCCTCTAGCCTCTGTACCCAGCTATTGTATACAAGGAAACAACTGAGAACTGAAATTCATCATTTCAGTGCATGACAAAATATATGCAATCTGTAGAGATATTGGATTTATAGCACAATATTTCCTGTGTCCTGAACACTAATCTTACCATGCTACTGAGCTTATAAATCAACCTGTTTCTCCTTGGAAGTGAAAGTGTTTTGTCACCTCTCTGGAAATTATTAACAATCCTTGCTATTTCACAAGGTACCAATAATCTCTGTCACAGCCTCCGGCCTCACTGACACTACCTTAGTTAATTCAAAACACTACTCTCAACCTGTATTTGCTCTGAGATTTCAATTTTCTTCTCTTTCACTCTCAGAAGAACTTCTCCACTTTTTCCAGCTGGCACAGCTGACTGAATGAAAAGTAAAATTACGGCTTTACTCATCGTCTTTTCTATCTTTTCAGATCCGCAGGTATAAACATAAACACAGAATACAGAGAACACCTTGAAAAAAATCTTCTTTTCTGCACTGCTGCTGCCCAGCAACTGCTGGCAAACCTCCCCTATCACTCTTCCTGCAATCTCCTGCCACAGCTCTTCTTTATATATGTTCTTTATTGCCTCACTGTCTTGCTTTCTATTTCCCAGGCCTTGCTCTGCACTTCCACCAGGATTCACAGTGGACTACTGCTGTTGCTTCAGAGGTTACCAGCAGGCTCAGGAGATTAGCACAGAGCTGGAGGAAGACATAAAAATAAGAGGAAGGTGTCATAGCCATCTTGCACTAGCCACAAACACAGATGTCCCGTACACATGGCTTGACTCCTCAGGTGCACCTAAGCCTCTTGAAAAGGCTCACAAATGTTTCTAGACTTCCCCATGGCATGAGAGAAGAAAGTTACATGACCTGCTCATACACCTTTTTTTTTTCCCTTTTTCCCTTTGCATATTACAGGCTCTAGTGGGAATCCAAAGTGTGCTTCAAGAAGGACATGTTTGTGATAGATGAAAATACAGCTACAGTCCAAATTAAGGTATTAAATAACAATAGATAAAAGAACAGAATCTGGAAGAACTGTCAACCAATCAGGCTTCTATTTTTCTCCCTCCTGTTCTCAGTTTTCTCTCAGGTCTCACTTTCTCTGCATTTATTTCTTTCCCCGAATGCTTTTCAGGATGCAGAAATACAATTCCTAGCCTTCCCATCCTAATGCCTTGAAAGTGAAAGCTCTGAGAGGCTGGTGGGGAGAGGGGTAAGGATGACTGAAGACTCACACTTCTCCCATGGTCTGGTCCTAGGAGATTTATAACCTGAAATAATTCAAGTGCTATTTACCAGCAGTGACAATCTGAATGTTCCCTATGCCCTGCCCACACAATTATCAGACATCATACCAACTTCTGAAGCTTCTGCTTATGCTTATGCTTTTTTTTTTTTTTTGGTTTGTTCTGTAGCAGGTTCATCCTGAAAGATCTAGACCACTTCATGACCTCACTGTACACAAGCCTTAGTCTGCCCACCAGCAGACTGCAGCCTCCTCTGGAGTGAAACACCACATCTATTTTTTCAACCCTGCATACACAGACATTATAGCAGATGGTGATGCAGAGTCCTCTGCCACCCCAGACTGACAGGAGCAAAATTTGCTGAGGCACAGTTATTGTTACATAGAACTCTGCATGCAGATTAGTGAAACAGTAATTTAAGAACAAAGAAAAAATAATGTTCTGTGCTTTAAAAAGTCCAATCCAACAGGTCCAGAAGTCTGTAAAGAAGATAATGTAAAAGATAGTCTACAGGACAAAAGAAACTATAAAGATGAAGAAGGGAGTTTTAAAGGGGGAAGAGGAGAAAGGTGACAAAAGAATGACTACTTAACACTAACACAATCTTTGAGAGAGAAACACAGAGGCAATAAGAGACAAAGCACTGAAGGGCATCAGGGAATGAGAATCTGGACAGAAAGATACAGCAAGCATATTTTGCTTCAAGCAATACCTTTAGATGGAGCAAAAAAGAGTGAAAAAGCAGGGAAAAGACTTCAGTAGATGTCAGATAAGGCAATGGCTTCTAGATGAGAACAAAGCTCTTGACTAGGACATTTTACTAGACAAGATAACCATGGAGGCTTCAAAGAGCTACAGGAGGCAATTAGAGCTTTGGGAGAGAAAGAATGCTGTGAAAAGGGCTAGGATAAGGGAGGGAGACTGGAAGAAAAGACAGCTTTTATAGTAAAAGAAAGAAATAGATCATGGACTGAGGCTTGAACACTAGCAAAAGGTAGAAATTTAAGCTTGCAGAGGCACGTAGTAAGCCAGGCTGGATATGGAGAGACAATGACAGAGAACTCTCAGAGGACAATTGAAAGAAGGGTTGAGTTCACAGCAAAAACCAAAAAGAAAAAGACCAGAAAGTTTAAGGGCTTTCATCATGGAGAAATAACAAGATAATATGATGATATTCAAGTGGACATGCACTGACTAATACTAGACTGATTAGAGCAGAATTGACAGAAAC